AAAACCTATGGAATGAATGAATCACTGCACTTCCCCACTGCCCTAGATGCTGCCCTGGAGTCTTGATCAACACAGCAATTGCAAAGGTTTACTACCAGATCAAGTAGCTGTGGCTCACAAATCGAAACCTGCTTGCCATCCTTTCATGATTAGCTAAATCCTAACACTCTTCTTTTAAGTGATGTGATTTGTATCTGAAAATATAGGTAGTTTCCTGGGTTACCTTGAGCTCCATCATGAAATCAAAATCAATTTGTTGCAACTGTTTTAACCATGAGTCATATAGCTTCACATATCTGTAAACAACAAATTCTGTTTGAAACATATGGTCTGTATAATGGATGCTCTCGTAAGTCACTATTTATCGATGCTGCTTACAAATATTTAATAGTGATGTTTTGGGGCATATTTGAAGCTTTTTTTTTTTTTTTTTTTGGTAATTCAGGTAGACATCGTGATGCTCACCAGTACTTCCAGTTTTCTTTACTTCCTGACATACAAATGATCACTTTTTTCTGACCCCAGTCACATTCTTAGTTTTGAGCTGAAGGCTATAACTGTGTGTCATTTCCAGGGTAAAGCACTTAAGACACAATGCTCAATTTTCTGCACACTCATCACCTGCTATGGTCATCCTGAAATCATGTCTTAAGATCAAGGTGCCAAGAAATACAAGCTGACTGGATCATTGAGTCATACCCCATTGCATGACAGCTACTGGAGTAAACAAAAAACTTGATTGGGTAAAGGCACTAAGACTTTGTGCCATTTGTTAGCACAGCATTACCTAGCTGATCCTGACTAATACAGTAATAAATGAGGTCTGTCAACTGCGATAAAATATCTGCCCTTGACTTTGGTCCATCCTAGAGAGGGGACCAGATTCTCAGAAGTTACAGGGTCAAAACAGTGGATGGAAGAGCAAATCAGCTGGTAGGGAAAAGAGGTAGAGATGGAGAGGGTGGAAGACTCAGGAGAGAGGAGCTGTAAAGGACAGCGAAAGATGGATTGAGGAATCCATTCCCAGGGAGTGTGTGGTGTACATTTGGCCAGTGGGATCTGTCCTTACCTGAGAAACCAGAAACACTGGTACCATCTAAGTAAACCCCCAGCCATCACTCTTAACTCCTCTCCACTCCCTTACTCTGTGTTCTGATACCTTCCTCAAGCTCAGCCAAGGGCACCATCTCCCTTCCACTGAGTTAAAACGAATGAAGCAGAACATTCCACTGATTGGAGTTGGGGTTTTAACTTTGCACTTTTCAAATAACTGGTTCCATAAAGCCTAAGCAAGTAGAACCTGACCCCAGATATTAATTTGGCAAGTATTTGGCAAGAGTTCTAAGCTTAAATCCTAACTTGATGCAGGAATAAAGATTTTGCATCAATTTCAGACCAGTTTCCAAAGACAGGGTCTAAGAAAAGAGATTATGGCATTACTTGTAACAGCAAAAATTAGAATAATCTAAGTGAACAGCAAAAGAGGAATCATTAAAAAACAAACAAACAAATAAAACCAGGGACATCTATGTCACAGAATATTATGGGTAGAGCAAAATGCTGTTTTCAAAGAACGTTCAGTGGATGTAAAAATGCTTAAAATATAATGTTAAGTGAACAAAAATATGCAAAAATTTTCTAGAGAGAATAAGCTCAATTTTACATAACAATACACAGTATGCATAAAACACTAGAAGGAAATATATTAAAAATGTTCCAGTGATTATCTCTGAGTGGTGGGTTATGGTGATTTTTATTTCTTCTTTGAAAGTGTCTACATTTTTCGAGCTCTCTTTAATAAACTTATTTTAAATTAGGGGAAATTTTTATTTTAAACAAAATATATTTGTATTAGGGCTTCAGCGATTTTAATTATTCCAGGGTATCTTCTGGGGTGAGGAAAGCTTTGGCTCAACCATCAATACCTTCTAAATACAATCCTAGATAATGATCATTCGTGCTCTGTTGAAGGTATGTTCTATTTTTCTGTTTTTCAGTTGATATATTAAATAATTAAATAAAATACTATTATAACACTATTCATTGTTAAATTATTTATAAAAGCTTTTGGTAATGTAAGGTTATACTAAAAAGTTAGTTAATTTAAAATCCAGGGATTCTTATAATAATTCAGCATGACTGGCAGGAAGGTACCGAATTCTCCAGGCTTTGGGCACATCCTACACTTGCCTTTCTCAGGGCAAGCATGGCCAGAGTGTGGGCCGTGTTTGGGGAAGAGCCATGTCCTCATTCCAGTGATAGGCTGCCCCTTGCACCACAGGCTCATAGCATCCTCTCAGCTCATAGCATCCTCTTTGGAAACCAGCATCACACTTCTCCCTGCTGCTATGGTAGATTTTGGAGACAAGTAGAGTGGAGATGTGGTGAAGCATTAAAGAAGAAGAGTCAACCACCCCCTCTCTGCTTTTGTAAGGAAAACCTGCTACACAGAGGGCCACTTGGAAGATTCTTCCCCTTTTACTTACTTTACCCATCACAGTAGTAACTTATACAAGCACCCTTGTATAAAAGATCCCAAAGAGTTGAAAATTTTTCACTATGACCTTCACTTGACCTTAGCTCATACCTTTTGGCCCACCCCTTTTGACCAACTCGAATTGCCCAACCAATGGCTGCTAAACCACAAGGATGAACCTTCTCACTCCGAGAACCATCTTTGACCAACTACTCCCAAATCTAGCTGAGCTTCTGCTGACTCTTCTTGCACAAACTCTATAACAATACTACACACCTTCCCCCAGACAGAACACTCCTCAGAGTCTTCTCCTGCCATAGGAGAAGACTTCTCCTTCTCCAAACACAGGCTTATGCCAATGGTGTTCTAATTATCTTCCATAGCTTTTGATGCCAAGACTTTAATCACTGCCAGACCCACTGTTGCTCAGACCAGGACAGAAAATGCAAGAGACTCCCAAGTCTCTCTTGGGCTGAGTAAGTCTTGCCCCAATTAGTACTTAGCTTCGTTTGTTATTGGTGAAAATCATTCATTCAATTTATTTCACAACTCAGGGCTCTTGCCGAGATTCTGAGGGAGTTCCTAGCCATTCAAGGAGCCTCTACATCTTTGTTCGGCTGATTACATGTACAAATATGCTGCCAACAGCACCCAAAAACTAAAGCTCTGGTGGTATCTTACCAAGAGCAATTTAGAACTTCAATGGTCAATCTAGTGAACTTGGGATATGTAAAATAATCCACCTGCATGGCACTTTAGAATCAAAGCATTCAAAGATTTTAAATATTCAATGGTCAGTATTTTTACTGATATAAAGAGATTTCTGAAAGACAGGAAAATTCTAAAATTGCTTCCTTTTAAGACTCCTTAGGAAAGACTAATAAGGATTGTCCTTGGAACATATATTCTGGGACTCTTTAGTTTCTATTTGATTACCAAATAATCAAATATGTAGGTCAAAATTTGACTACTGATAGATATAAAAGACTATAAATATTAGGCAAGATCTTTTACCATCACTCCCCGAGAGCTTTCATGTCAAAATCAAGTGGTCAAAGATTCTATATATCAGAGGTCCCCAACCTTTTTGGCATCAGGGACCGGTTCTCCTATGAGAATCTAATGCCTGACGATCTGAGGTGGAGCTGAGGTGGTGATGCTAACGCTGCTCACCTCCTGCTGAGGGGTCTGGTTCCTAACAGGCCACAGACCCACACCCGTCCGCAGCCCAGAGGTTGGGGACCCCTGCCATATATGTCTCTGGTTTCAAGATGGCAGAGTAGGTAAACACTGTGTTCACCTGTTCTAACGACCACATCAAAATTACAACTAAACTACAGAACCACCATCAGTGAGAGTCTCCTGAAGTCTAGCTAAACAGAAGTCCTACAACGGGATACACAGAAGAGGTCACTTCGACACTGGCAGGAGGGGCAGAATTTTCCACAGTCATTCACTGTGTTCTCTCCAGTCTTAAATGTTTCTAGTCAGCCACTTGCTCAAAAAAAAAAAAAAATTGAAATTCAACTACAAAGGCAAAAATCACAAGGAACTCTGATAGCAGTCCTCACCAATGAGTCTGAGACTGACACTTTTTATATCATTATATAAGGTGAGGGAAAAGAATCAGAATCTGATCCAATTATGAAACTCGGTCTCCCTGTTGACCAAGAGGAGGGACCATAAGAGATTCTAAATGACTGAAAATTTCCCACTGTGGCCCTTGTATGACTTGGCTCCTGTAGCTCTTGCTCCCAGCCCTCTCGATAAAACCCAGATTTCCTATCCAATGGCTGTTAAATCACAGCATCGATTCCCCTCATTCACCCAATTACCCCTCCTAACGATGTCCCGGCCAGTTCCTTCTACACCTGCTGGCGGTGGTTCTAATGTTAACAATCTTGTGCCTACTGGGGACAAAGAACACAAGGGGATTAAAGGGGACATTTTTAACTGTTTTGTTAGGGTAGTGAGACGATTAAGAGTTGTTGCCTAGTTTCCAAATTTTTCTCTAAGGTAATATTAAAATAATATAAGGTAGATAATATAACTACCTTATATTATCTTAATATTAATTATATCTCCTAATGAAAAAGGGGAGGGATGCATTACTGTGTTCCCAAACGATTATAACCGCTTAAAAAAAAAAAATTTCCAAGGGTGGGTTCTTGACTCATCTGGGGTATTGGTTTCTTTAAACTTTCTCTTTACTTAAAAAAAAAAAAAAAAAGAGAGAGAGAGAGAGAAACAGAGAGAGATCGTTTCTCCCACAGAAACATGAATATTTGGTTTAGAAATGACCAATGTCTCAAAAAGCTTTGATTTCCTGCCACCTACGCATCTCCAAAATGCCAAATTAATGGCATCTAATCCTAACAAAGTGAGAGACATCCACAGCTAAAAATGTCTTTATAATGGGGGTAGGGAGAGAGGGGAAAAAAGCAGGGGTAATTTTTTCCCAATATGTTTGTCATTATTATAGGTTATATATACAGAAGGAAAGTTAATTAAGCTTTAAAAAAAATCCATCACACATCAATGGCTGCATTTTAATGAGTACAAAAAGTTGAGGTGTTTACTACCAATTAAAGTGGTTTTTAAATAAGCATTAATTAACACAGAAATTCAGAAGAAAGTTATACCTTGTCAAAGAAAGGCCAGTGCAGGCTATGCCCACTTCTGCTCCCATTCATATTCAGATAGCAATTACCACCAACCCTATATTTTCCATAATAATGAGATGCTGTCATGTCTATCAAACAACAACACACACACAAAAGTGGTGGAATTAGAAATTCTCAGCCTGAAGAAAACTTTTCGAATTTGCTCCTTCTGGGTTTTTCCCTCATCCAGGTCAGAGTGATTCAAAAAGGAGGTTAGCTGGATTTTAATGGTGAGTTGCTCTGTTTTTCCCCCTTTTGTAGGGAGTATTGTTGGGGAGCACTCATTGGTCAGAGGGGTGTTATTCAAGTCTACACCGGCAAATCAGAACCACTGCCCAGTCATGAGTCAAGTGGGCCTGCAGTTCTTCCTTCGTTTCTTAATAATCATGTTAATTTGCATAATCCTACTCCCTCTACCCTACTTTCTTTCAGAAAGTATTAACTGTCATAAGGTGGTAAGGAGGAGAAAGACATAAAATCTTTAAAACCCGCAATCTCACTGGCGCATGGTCTGATGGATGGCCTCGTACTTGAGTGAAAAGTGATGGGGAAGGTCCTGGATTTTGGGGAGGAATCTGGGAAGATGCCATGGGGATGGCTGCAGGAAAGGGGTTCTCTGGGCAACAGGTTCCAGGGGCTGCTCCTTGACTTGACAGTTCAGGTTTGCTTGGTGAGGACCTTATTCTAATGAAATTGATATAAAATTGATCAATAAATCCTAATTCATCATGGGGTTCAAACATGTCCTTTCTAGAGCTTGGAATTCTCGTGCTCCCAAGCCAGGTGATTCCCTTTCCACATCAAAGCGTTTAGAAAAGGAAGCCACCCTGGTGAATGCAAAATCAGAACTGGGAAGCTAGAGCACCCAATGGAATTCTCTCTCCGCATGGCAGGGAACCTCTTTCTTGTGGTCAAAGCACTTGGATCCCTTGCACTCACTCGGTGACTCTTGCAAAGTGCTACTAACACACTGACTTTAGTCTCTCTGGGCTCCAATTTTCAGTTCAAGTTCTTCTTCCATTCACTGACACATTTTGCTTTATCTAACAATCAAGTTCCTCCCATTGTGGTAATTTAATTAGTCAAACTCTCACCACAGGAGAACCTGTTCACGGTCATGGTCTCTAGTGAACCAAGGATAAAGCACCAAACAAGAAAGGTCAGTTCCAGGAATCCACATTGGACATGTTTTAAATCAAGGTGGCTAAGCTGACACAGAGTCGATTCTTGAAGCTCAAGGGCGGGAAGAGGTGGCGGAAGAGACTTTATCATCTCCCAGAGCAGGATGGTTTCTCCTCTGTGCAAAAGGCGGCAGGATGCTTCCGGTTCACACAGAGGGGGAGGGAGTCTTCTCTCTGCTTAGCCTCTGTGTAAGCCGTGCATTGTGCATGAATGAAGAGATGGATGAAGAGATGGTTTGATTATGTGACTTTTTAGTTGCCTTTTCAGTGTCTGCTTGGAAGACTCTGATAGCTTCAGAATTTCCACTTAAGACAGGTGTAAGGAGCAATCCAGTTCAAAGGGGCTTAGAGAACTTGTCTGGAAGCCACATTTGCAAAGCATACATGTCATTTCAATCTAAATTGACTGTATCTTGGGGTGGCCTGGGGGTGCTGAGGAAAACTGAGGGAGGAAGTAAAGACTCTGCCATTTGCTGTGGGATTACTGAAGGTGGGGGCGCAGGTCGAATTTATCTTTAAATCATGTACAATGCCTAGCAGAATAAGTATGACAAGTGTTCACTATTAATTTGGACCAACCAACTTGCACACTTGTCTTTGTCACAGCTAGGCCTAGGAAGAGACTGATAACTGACCAACAAAAAACTACAAACAAAAATCTCTTTTAAAAAACCAGGAAATTTAGTTGGAAAGTGAACAGACTGAACTGACAGAGAAGGTGGGGCTGGAAATCAGTGTGGAGAAGGAAGCAGACAGTGGCCAGCAGCTCGCCAAGGAGCTACAGAGCACGAATATCCCGCCAGTCAAATTGCAGGCACTCTGCATCACCTCTTTTAATATAGCTGTTCAGGGCTGGCACTCGCCTCAGTCTTACCCAGTCTGCACAGGAATAAACAGCTTCAAAGAACAGTTAAGTACCAATGTGCTTCTTCGGAGAGAATAGTAAAAGGTTGACTATCTCCCAAGTTCTTCCTGCCTGACGTGGCTGCCGCCTTGGCCTTGGCTTCTCATTCCTTTCACTGCTGTTGCCTTTAAAGGAAAATGCTCAGTTGGGCGCTGTCTGAACATGCAGTTGACTGTGCGTCTTTTTGGGAAAGTGTATTTTCCCTCATAGATGTGGTAACATGAGTAGACATGGTAACATGCCGCCTTGGTCAAGTCTGGCAAAACGAAGTGTCCCTTTTTCCGAAATTCCTCAGTTATGTTACACCCATTACTTGCTCTATTAAAATGGAAAGAACTTACCCTTATGTGTGTCCAATTCTTCCGTTTATCAGAATTGGGACAGATTGTGCCTTTCTACTCAATTTGGACAATGAAATGAGTTTCATTTTTATTTATGGGCTTCATAAATCCGTTTCACTTGCTGCTTTTCATGCCCCAATTCCACACTGTTGTGTGGGGATTTCTTACCCTGCCAGGCAATTAAACCAAAAACTTCTGGGGGGAGGGGGGAGGAATTTCTTTACAAAACTCTTAAATCCAAAATACACATAACCGTTTCCATTTCAAGTCCAGTACAGTTAGCGGATGGGACTTTAAGTCTTTTTGAGCATCCAGCTCTCCAGATTAATTTTTTTGCTGTCATCACCAAGCCCTCATTTAAGTTCTAAAGGTGAGTTCGAAATTCCAGAATGGAAAGAAGTCTTTAATTTTAGAAACTATGTTTCCAGACCTGGTGCCAGGCCTGTAAGAAGATAACGTGGTGGCTGGTGGCTGACGGGCCTGAGGAGCAGCAGGGGCTCACGCCCCATGGTCCCCTGAGCTCGGAGGAGGACAAGCCCGGAAACCTGGAGCAGCAGCAACAGTTCCATGTTCTATGCCGGATTTAAACAACAACGACAACAACAACAACAACAAAAACAGGAAAACCCAGCCAAACAGACCTATAGCGTTAAAGGAAGGGTGGAGAGACATAGTCCCACTTCTCAGTACTTTGGAAAGTTTCTGCTCTTTCTCTAAATACACAACCGAGCAGTAGGCTTCTGCCTGATAAGGCTGCACCCAGTAGGATCCAATAGATCTAATCCCACCTAATAAAATTATAGGCTGGGTTCAGGTATAGTTCAATCCTGTTATATAAAAATCCAAGAAAAGAAATCCAGTGAAACTTTATTTAGACAGAGACCCAGTAATTTGAATTTTGGATAGCTCAGACACAGGCCACGCTGAAGTTTACCGTGATGCTTCCACTGATTCAATCACACTGTGTATATATCGACTAGGAGAAGTAGGCGAAAGATATTTAACTCTGGCCCTTCCAGGCTGTAAGCTACTGAAGACCAGGAACCATTGCTGGTTCCTCTTCATGTCTAGCCCACAGAAGGCACTCCTGTTAGACTCATTTACCTGAAATTCTTTGTAGGCGAGGTGGGCTAGCCGCTTCAGTTGTCATGCCCCTGATCACCGGGGTTGACCTAGATGCTCCAACTGACTTGGGGTTCCCTTTCTCCCTTTATGTGCGGCCTGGGAAAAGACAAGCTAGAAAGCAAGAATTTGTGAGCGTGTGTACTGCACAATGTTGACATGGTTGACACAAGTGTTTCGGTCCAGCTGGCAGGTATCTCCCTGGAGTGGAGATGGCTGGATCTGAATATGATGAGAATGTCACCAGCCATTAGGATCATCCACCACCCTCTGCAAACCATCAACCTTCTAGTTTCAAAGACACTTGCCTAGCTGGGAGAGAAGAGAGCTAGCACGAGTGCTCTCGTTCATTTAGCAGTTACTCATTATGGAAAATTAATAAACCAACATTCTGACTTATATCACAATCTCTTAAACTTCCACTAATGTGGGTCTAACCTCCTAAACTTGATGATTATGGCGAATCAAGTTCTGCACCTAGCCCAGTGAGGTCTAGGACCCAAATTGTGCTAGCAGCAGCAGGGGTAAAATACCACGGAACTTTCTGCCTCAGAGACTAGCCAGCCCGCTTAAACTTTCCTAACGCTGCATAACATCTCAGGAAGTACTTAATTCTACCTCAGGGATACTGCATGCTAAAATGAGCAAGAGAAATATTAGCTAGAATAGCACTTCCTCTATCCCACTGGATTGCTAAATTGCATTGAACTAAAATTCCTCAAAGAACAAAACGGTGCTTGGCAAAAAAAAAAAAAAATCCCTTTCCTTAATAACACCGAACAGATGAGCTTGAACCAACACAGACTCAAGGCCATTTCATAAAGTTGTGTAGGTTGTCCACTGCACAGAAGCACCATCAAAGATGTACCCTTCATATCGCTGGCCAGTAACAGTAAATGCCTCAAAGAAAGGCTTTTTCTAAATTGCACGAAGATACCAATAAAGGCTAGCAGAAATCTATATCTAATAAAAGGACAAGGTAACCAGCATCCTCTCTTATCTTTATTACTTGTGTGCCCCACCCAATTATAACCCCTCCCTTCCCCCAAAGTAACAATTATCCTGTTAGTTATCACCTCTTTGTATTGTAAAAATCATTTTATCACCCAAATGTACATCTCTAAACACTAGTTTAGACCTGCTCTTCTTCAAAATTTCAATGTTTTAATTCTCTTTTAATCTACAGGTTTCTCTTCTACCCTTTTCATTTCTTGACCAACTATCTGCTGAAGAGTTCGGGCAATCTGACCTGCAGTTTCCTAGGGTCTTGATGTGGCTGACTGCGTACTCATGGAAAAGTTCAACGTGTTTCTGTGTCCCCTGTATTTCTTGCAAATTGGAAGCTCAGTCCACTTAAGGATCAGACCCAGTCTAGATCCCTTCAGCAAGACTATAGGTGGCATTTAGCAATACTACAGGAGGCACAAAATGTCAGTTGTTCTTTTTGTAGTCTTAGCAGACATTGATGCTTAATGCCTGTATCCATTCATTGGGGGTTACATAATGGTGATATTCTAATTTTATCACTTCTTTTTCATTCTGTAACTGAAATAGTTTTAAAAGAGACTCTGCCCCTTATTTACTATTGGGATATCCAGTAGTACAGTTCATATAAAAATCAGGAAAAATGCTTGACTCTCTTTATTTCCCAGTTTTCAATATAATAAATTGGTTCCCTAGAATTTTCCAAAGGTGATCAATTCTTTTTAATATCACTGTCAAATTATGGATTAAACATATATGATGGGTTTCAAGTTTTATCATTATCGAAGGTCAAATCATCCCATCTTTGGCCGGTAGGAGGTTCTGAGTCCTTTGGCATGACTGTAGAAGTCTTTGATAGCTTCTTTGTTATTTAAGATGTTCCAGCTTCATTTTGTAACCTTCCTGCCCCAGACTTATTTCTCCGAGACCTAATTTATCTTACAGAGAAATGGCATTTCAAAACCATTACAATCTGGGTGCTAGAGATACTCTTTGGTAAATTAGATATAGTTTCTAGGACTTTTCAGTGGAATAAACTAGGAAATACTGATTCAAAGATAAAACATCTCATAAATACATTTGATACTTTCTATTCAAATTCAACACTAGAGAGCTTTTACTCAGCCACTTCTCTATAACATCGACATCCCTTCTTCCTTCCTTCCTTCCTTTCCTTCCTTCCTTTCTTTCATTTCTTTTTTCTTTCTTTTCTCTCTCTCTCTCTTTCTTTCTGAGAATCGTGGTATTTAAAGCAGAAGGGATGATAGAATCAGAACATTCCAATATTACTAACTTGTTTTATTCAACATTACACAGCAATTCTCAGAACGACAATACTAATATCATCAACAGTATAATTATCAAAAATCTTTTAAAACTTGCACATGCTCTCCCTACTTTCCCCATTTTAGAAAATAGTTCTGTCTGATCTCGGAAGCTAAGCAGGGTTGGGCCTGGTTAGTACTTGGATGGGAGACCACCTAGGAAGACCAGGTGCTGTAGGAATGAAAAATAAAAACTAAGGGATTGTAAGCTGACAAAGTCCTAGCAATCTGTGAGGTCAACCAAGGGTTGCCTCGCCGAAGGA